TGGGGAATCCCCGACCCCATCTAATTCCCCGCGGGGACGGAGATGGGGAACATTTTCAATTCCCCGCCGGGGACGGGGACGGGGACGGGGATGGGGAGTATACTCCCCGCCCCCGCCCCGCCCCGTTGCCATCCCTAGGGTGGAATGAGAATAATTAGTAATAGTAGTGCTTGAAAATGAATAAGGGAATGAAACCCTTAGGGTGTGTTTGGTTCTCACATAGGAATCGGAATCGGAATGGGTATCAAATACTTGGTAATGGTAATGGGATTTGATGAAAGTATTTAACATGTTTGGTAGTAGGATGGAATGGGAATGGTTACTAATAGTAGTGCTTGAGAATGAATAAGGGAATGAAACCCTTATTTTATTTGGGTATGAGTTTTTCAATTGATGGGGTATTCGAAACTCATAGTAGTGTTCTAAAAACCTATCAACCAAACAACAACAATCACTTTCATACCCATTCCTATGTGCAAAACCCACCAACCAAACACACCCTTATTGTATTTGGGTATGAGTTTTTCAATTGATGGGGTATTCGAAACCTATAATAGTGTTCTAGAAACCTATCAACCAAATAACAACAATCACTTTCATACTCATTCCTATAGGCAAAACCCACCAACCAAACACACCCTAAATTTTCAATCCTTAATGGCCCTCATACCCCAACTCAACAGAGCATTTGAGGGATGTAAATGATGGTGACTGATTGGCGCAGCAGTAGACAGGACTAAATGGTGCGCACAAGGGATCTGCCCACTTTATGCATAATTCCTACACATTTTCATTTTTCCTGTCGAGGTTGAAACTTGTACTTGTATGCTGTAGAAGTTGCTGTTAATGTGGTTTATTGCGATTATTATCAACTTTCTATATTTTTTCTTTCAAATATTAATTTTGTTATATTTTTATCTTTTAAATATTAATTTTGTCAAATTTATTATAGAAGTATGTTTATGTTGTTACATTTGATTCTATTTTTTGTAATTATTTGTCAAAAATTATATTTTTCAGCAATTGATTGTAGATTTGGCCAATATATAAGACCAAATATGGTAACAACATAATATACATATTTCTGTGACAAAATTAATAATTATGAATTAAATGTGGGGGATGAACAATAATAAAGGGACCAAAAGTAACTTTAGTTCTGGTTTAATATCTTTGCTATTTAAAAAAAAAAATCTAAATTGTTGATATTGATGTCTTTTAGATCCGATTACAACATATAGTTACATTGAGTGTATTGTAATATTATATACTCTGTAACATATATTTATATGTTTGTATTGTGCATATTAATATTAGGCAAAAATTGATGTGAGACCGCTTCACGGATTGAGACAAGTTAGGTTAAGATAAAAATGTAATATTAATCAAGAATAAAATGTTTATTACTTATATAAAAAAATATAATACTTTTGAAGAAGTATTACATTTATCCTAAAAAGTATTACATTTTTCCTTATAAATAACAAACAATAAGATCTTGTTTGGTAACATAACTGATAAGTCAATTTTGATTGGTCAATATGCTACTTTGAAAGGTAAGAAGAGTAGAATTGTTAGTTAACTGATTGACCTTAATTATAAAATGATCATTTTACTCTTGCTATCCCTTACATTATATTTATATCTCTCTTCTTGTTGTTCATTTGCCTTGCCCATTTTTCTTTTTGTTTATGTAACAATAAAAATAATGTTTTTCTTTCTTTTTAATTTCACTCATAATAATAATAAATAAATAAATAAATAAATAAATAAATATTGTAAACGTTATTTAAGAGTTACGAGTAATAAATTAGTACAATATGTTTATGCCTTTATAAGTCATTTTACATACAATTAGTTCAAAGTAAACAATTAATTTATAAAACACTTTTTTTATTATTATTATTATTATTATTATTATTATTATTATTATTATTATTATTATTATTATTATTATTTTTCTTTTTTTACCATCAACGAATACTATATGTTGGTCAAACCAACTACCCCAATCAACTATTAGCTATCAACTAACTTAATTAACTATCGGTCATTTGCCAAACACCCCTTTATTCCTGATTAGTATTATATTTTTCAGTGTAAGTATTGCATTACTATATCAGACCCGTCTTCCTCACCAAAAAAAAAAAAAAAAAAAAAATACCGGACCCGTCTCACGAATAAATTCGTGAGACGGTTTCATAGGAGAGTCACTCTTAATCTACTAAATATAATAAGGGCCAATAAAGTTAAGCCTCTAACGGGAGCAAAAAAATATTGGTTTAATCGTTTGTTTAAATGAATGGTTCATATTATTTTTGTTTTAGTATTTTTTACAATTTTCCTACTTTACACATCATTATTATTATTATTATTATTATTATTATTATTATTATTATTATTATTATTATTATTATTATTATTATTATTATTATTATTTTCCTCTGAATATCCCCACATTTCGTTAGTGTAACTTTAGTAACGGAATATTATGTTAACAATTTATTATTAAACTTACTCATTGATTTCCATAAGGAAGGTCTTAGGTTCGACCGTTGGCATAATTGTTAAACATATACTATGAATATGTTAAAGATACATAGAAAATTATTTTCTTGTTTTCTCAATATATATTTTAACGAACCTAGTTTACAATATATTTTTTTTCGTGTAATATCTTCTTTTGATTATTTTCAGCATTTAATTTGTGCAAGTAATGCATACCCATTCTTATGATGTTATTCATGTTTGCAATTGATACAACGAAGCCAACACCTTTAAATCCAATCCAATATTATTATAATTATAAAACTGGAACAATAATTACCCAAAAATAACAATAATATTGTTGACCTATTTTATATTCAAATATGTTCTTTTTTTGCAAACTAGCACCAATAACCTATTGCACATGAGACACTACTAACAAAAAAGAAGCGGACAAGCAATGAAGACGAAGACAAAGACAATGACAAACCTATCCAAGAGTGAATTAATAAAACTTAGAGTAATTCCAACCAAAAGTAGTATCTACTACCATACCAACTATAATAAATATTTAGATTAATTTTAATGTCAACTATAATGAACTTCTTTTATATAATATACTTTGAATTACTTATGTAGATTAAATCAGACGCACAATCCATGTAAAAACTAGTACTCTATCTCTCTTATTTTACACGGCTTACTTACTATTCATTGGTCAAACTAATTATTTCTTCTTTGCTTGTTTTTATTAGTATTTATTTATAATTTATAAATTTAATTTTTATGTGTTTTTAACGTAGTTTTTAAATCTTCAAATTTTAGATACTAATTTTAAAAAGCACGTTCGAAGAGGACTTTCTTAGAATTTCCAACTACGAATATTCTCTCCCTAACCTAGGGTTTTTCTCTCAACTACTCTCCCTTCTAGGGTTTTCCATACAAGTTCCGACTGCCTTCCGTTTGCTTTTCCGAGTGTTGTCCGTGGTGATTGCCGTGTGTTAGTCCGAACATGAGTTCCCGACAGCAGCAACAGCCGGGCGACGAGATACGTGTGAGGTCCACGGTGCAGCAGCAGCGTGAGATGGAGGTGATTTCAGATCGTTGGGCGGATATAGCGATTGAGGAGGAAGAGGATGGTGTGGCAGCGGCGGATCCCTATGAACCGACGGTGGCCGATGATGCACTAGTGTATTCGGTTGTGGGGAGGTTTTTGACGGCGAAGGTGATCAAAGTGGAGTATATGAAGCAAGTTCTGGCTTCGGTTTGGCAACCGGTTATGGGTATGCGAGTCACGGAGTTGCATGCTAATCTCTTCTTGTTTGCGTTCTACCATGTGAAGGACATGAAGAGGGTTTTGGAAGACGGCCCTTGGTCGTTTGAGAATCATACCCTAGTTTGTCGGCAGGTATGCGCGGGTTATCTTCCTGGGGAGGTGAAACTGGATACGGTAGACATGTGGATACAGGCATATGATTTGCCCATGGGTTATACTTCAAACATAATCCTTGAGCAAGTTGGCAACTATGTGGGGAAATTTATTCGCACGGATGACAGGTCGGTGGGTGGGGCTTGGAGAACCTTTTACAGGATCAGGGTTGCGGTTAGGCCTGGGCACGGGTCGGGTTCGGATTCGACCCGAGGGTATACTGACTACCCGAATTATTTCGGGTTGAATTTATTTCTATCCGAACTCGAACCGAATTATGCTAATTTTATACGGGTTCGGGTTAATTTGTTCGGGCCGGGTTCGGGTTCGGATTAACCATACCCGAAATATGTAAACTAATATTTTTTTTTTATAAAAACATTTTAAAAATCATTAAAAAAATCATCAAATTTAATTTATCCTAAACTAAAATTCTAAATGCAATTGACAAAATGAAAGTTAAATACTATAATACTTAATAATAAACAATGGCCATTTTACATCTTACAAAAATATTATGCAAAATATTACAAATTTGCATTTTACACTTACTAAATACAAAATACTAACAATTAATTACAAACCGTGGCCATTTTACATCCACAAATATACACACAAATGCCACAAAATCCTGTGAATTCACATAGAAAAATAAAATAATTATAATTAAATTAATAAATCATAATCTAATCTAGAATAAACATACAAATTTATGTGTCTTTAAAATGTATACATAGCAATTATACCAGTGTATCAAAATGCACAGCACAGGAGCTGAGGGGCTGCTGAAATGTAAAACAACAGCTTCAAAGTTCAAACTGCAAAATTCTAAAAAAAAAAACATAGTTCAATAATATGCAATTTTCTAAGTTTTTCATAATTCTATATATAAATAACTAGAATTGTGTGCTCAGTACCTTATCCAATTTAGGCATTCGACATTTCATCATTCATCACTAAGCAGTATCCAACACCAACTGTAAACAATAAAATATTAAAAATTTTAACATCAGAAAACTAAAAACTGTTTACTAAACTAAAATTGAACAATCAATTAATAGATGAAAATATTTACCCAAAAAAACCATAATCAAGGATTCAAGGATGCAGAGCAGTGGACAGTTTCACATTCAAAGCAGTAGTTTGTATATTGAAAGCTTCCAAAAAGGCCAAAAGCATTCTTAAACAAATAGAGTATAACTAATTAGAATTAAATTAATTAATAATGATCTAAATTTATGAGAAGGATTATAAAAATTTACCTTAACTGCAACCTGCAAATTAGTGGCAAAGACAAAACTGTTAACAATTAATGATTGCAATTAAAAAAAAAACTGTAGACTTAAAATGAAACTAGAAAAATGTTTACACATTTACCAAATCACCACCTGCAATTCTGCCAGTTAAGTAGTTTACCAATTCACCACTGTTTCAAAATTTCATTGCCAAGCTTCCCAAAAAGTCAAAAACGTTCTAAAAACAAATATGTTAATTAATTGAATAATAATTGAACTATTGAAGTATTGAATGAAAATGAAGTATTGCTCAACATACCACTAAAACTTCCAAGTTTCAACTTTCCAAATAACTAAGCAGCAGTCCAACAAAAAACATAACCTCCAAAAAAACATAACCTCCAAAATAACAAAAAGTCAAAAACCACAATCTCAAAAAATAACATAACCATTTTACTTATCAAGAGTATTTGGAGTTGAATGATCCACAGCCACATCTATGACATAAATATAAAATAGGGGTGTTAGACAAATCACAAGATACAAATAATAAAACATATTACTCTAAGTCATATCATTATATAAAATAACTTATTACCTTGTTCTATTTTCTCAAGAAGATTGCAATCCTCCTCAATATTAACTGATTTTGCGCAAGGTCGAATCCAATCTTTGGCACAGATTAATGCTTCCACCATTTTTGGTGTCAAGCTACTTCGAAAGTCATCTAGTACCCTGCCCCCAGTACTAAAGGTTGATTCAGATGCAACTGTAGAAATTGGGACAGCTAGAACATCTCTTGCCATTTCAGCCAAGATTGGAAATCTTGGTTGATTCACCCTCCACCAGCGCAAGATATCAAAGGATTGTTCATCTTCTACATCTTCTCCCAAATATTTGTCTAGTTCTGTCTTTTCAATTGCAGAACCAGATTGATTTTTGAATTTTTTAAATCTATTCATTAGACCAGCAATGCCTTGACAATCAGAACCAGAAACTACATCATTTGAAGTTAAAGAAATAGATCCCATGTTTTCAAAACCAGACTTTGGAACATGAGATGACTCATTACAGTTTCTGTATGCATTAAACAATCTGTAAGTTGCCTCTTTAATCATTTTTTCAAGCTTTTTCCCATCCACTAAACCATGCATTTCTGTCAAGACAAATGTGAGGAATTCCAATTTTTTGGTTGGATCAAGAATTACAGCAATGAAAATAACCATATTCATTTGCTCAGGCTTCCCCCAATACTTTTCAAATTTTGAAATCATCCTATTTGCCATCAAACTGAGTTCAAGATTAGTGGAATATTTCCAATCTTTCAAGATTTTATCAATTGCACTTATTTCAGGCAGAAATGAATTGGAAGTGACATATAAACTCCCTGAAACCCTAACTGTCATGTCGTAGAAGAATTTTAAAAAGTTAACCATTCTTCTCACAACATCCCAATCAGTGTCATTTGGAACTCTAAGTGGTGCAACATTTAATTCCTTTTCAAACTGAGAATCTTGCCTATCATATCTCTCAAAAGCCCTCTGAAATTTTTCTGCAACATCTAGCATCATATAGGTGCTATTCCACCTAGTTGGCACATCTAAACAAAGAGCTTTATTACATTCAATTTTTTCCCTCTCAGCACAATCCTTAAACTTTTTCAGCCTAGCTGGGGACTGCCTAACATACCTAACAGCAGCTCTAACAGCATTCACAGACTCAGATATGTCCTTTAAGCCTTCATGAACTACTAAATTCAAAATGTGGGCAACACATCTCATATGTAAGTGCTCAGAATCACAAATGCTTGTTCCCCAATTCTTTAAAACAGATTTTAATGACCTAATTGCAGTATCATTTGCACTTGCATTGTCCACAGTAACACAGAAGAGTTTGTCAATCCCCCATTCAATCAGGCACTTCTCAATTGCTTCAGCAATATCAGCGCCTCTATGAGATTCAATTGGAGTAAAATTTAAGACACTTTTATGCAATTGCCAATCTTCACTTATCCAGTGGGCTGTGAGACACATATATGACAATCTTTGATTAGATGTCCATGTGTCAGTTGTAAGAGAGACTCGTTGTTTACTCTGTTTAATTATCCACTTCATATTTGCTTTTGCTTGAGTATAAATTTCCAAGCAATCTCTAGTTATTGTTCTTCTAGATGGCAACACAAATGTTGGTGGTAAGGATATACTGACAAAGTGCTTGAAACCAGATTTCTCTACCACACTAAATGGCAGCTCATCTATTATTATCATTTCAGCAATTGATTTTCTTGCATGGCTATGGTCAAATCTCCAATTGCTAGGTTGACCTAGAACAGATTCCCCCTTATCATTTACCAGCAACTTGTTAATTTTGAACTGAGTTTGGCCTGGATTTTTTATGTTAGGGTTCTGCTTGCATGTGACCATGTGATTTCTTAGATTAGTCGTTCCATGTTTTTTAGGATCTGCAGCCCAAACCCTCTTACAGTAGACACACTTGGCTTCTATCAAATTATCATTGCCATCCTTAATTTTTTCGAAATGAACCCAAACATCTGATCTGTCTTTAATTTGTTTCCTTTTTCTAGATTTCTGTTTAGTTGTATCAGGTTCCATTTGTGGATCAGCTGTTTGTAAGCCAATTTGTTCATTTATTTCATTTGGTTCAGCCATCTGTAATCTACAAAGATTTTAAGTTTTAACATGATTGATGTAAGTTTACATTAAATTTTAAAAACTATATAACTTTTAATTCCAGAAATTCCAGTTTAAACTGGAATGATTTCATTCCAGTTTTTGAAATGAGAAACTGGAATTTTCATTACAGTTTGAATGTGTTTAAACTAGAATGAAAATTCTAGTTTCTCATTCTAGAAATTGGAATTTTCTCCAGTAAACATTAAACATAGTAACACAAAACATATAAATATATACAAAATTTCATAATTACCTACCACACATACACAAAACAAACCAAAAAAAAAAACAAAACACAAAATTCATAAACCTACATCACATAAGCAAAAAAAAAAAAAAAAAAAAAAAAAAAACTATAACATTACAGTTTCTGAACTGAGAAATTGGAATTTTCACTCAAGTTTAAACACATTTAAACTAGAATAAAAATCACAGTTTCTCATTCCAGAAACTAGAATGTTTCTCCTGTAAACAGTAAACATAGTGAGAGATATAGTAAACTGTAAACTGGAATGTTTCATAAACATTTAATTTTCTTGAAAAAAAATGAAAAAATAGCAATAGGCTTTTAGGCTTGTTACTGAGTTACTCAGCAACTTGTTAAAGAGGCAGAGACAAAGAAAATAGAGTTTTCTCAGCAAAAACTAGATATCTTCAAATATGAGATCTAAGATCTTCACAGTAAAAAAAAAAATCAGATCTTCCCAAATCTAGAGTTTCCTAAGTAAAACTATAAATGAAAAAAAAAAGTATACCTGTTACTGTTAGTCCCCTGTTATTCTAATACTCTCTGCGTCTAAGAGAGGGAGATAGGTCTCGAAGCCTCGAAGGTCCAAAGGAGATATACCAACTATGGTTTCCTGCAAATGAGGTTAGATGATGTTAAACTCGTTATGAGTAGATGATGTGGAAAGGGGACTTAGTCACTTACCGAAGAGAGAACAAGAGACTCAGAGAGCCGGAGCCGGAGTCTCGAAGGTGGAGTGGAGACGGAGTCGCGATCCTCACGGAGTGTCTAAGGGTGAGAAGCGGAGAGGCGGTCTCCGCCTCGCCGGTCAGGCAGAGACGGAGAAGACTCCGGTGAAGGCTCTGGGCTACGCGTCTGCCGTCAAGGTGAGAGACAGAGAGGTTAGAGGTAACTGGTAAGACACTGAGAGGAATGAGAGACTGAGAGCGTTTGAGTGGAGGAGAGGGAAAGGCGAGCGGCGCTGAAAATCTAAAATGAAGGGGTGTGGTCTGAAACCCTAAACTAAACACACATATATATACTAATAATTTTCGGGTTCCGGGTCGGATTCGAAATTTATTCCTTAAACCCGGAACCCGAACCGATATAACATTCTACAGCCTTGTTTTTTCCGGGTTTGGCCCGTGGTTGGTCGAATCCGACCCGAATCGGGTTGGGCGGGTCGAACCCGCGAGAATTTCGGGTTAAACCCGTTTTTTGCCCACCCCTAGTTGCGGTTCCTATTGATAAGCCATTGAAACGTCGAATGAAGCTGATACGGAGGGATGGATCTTGGGGGTGGGTGAATTTAAAGTACGAGCGTTTACACAATTTTTGTTTTTGTTGTGGGATGCTAGGGCACCTGGATAAATTCTGCAAGACGGCAATGATCTCAGATATACCCCGAGAGTTTTTCCCGTTTGGTGAGTGGATGCGAGCGGGTCGGCGAAGGGGACCGAGCCCGATCGGGTACTCCTGGCTCTTGCCGCCGGAGGGCTCGGTGAGGGCGGTGACGCCGGTACCGGCAGAATCGGAGGGGACGGCGTCGTCGAATGGGGCTCAGGAGGATGTGCATATGGCGTCTGTACGGCATGAAACGGAGGAGGGGGTTGTGGCCTCGGCAAAGAGGCGGAGGCCGGGTGTGGTGGATGGGGGCCGTGAGGTTGCAGAAGGGGAGGATGAGATGACGGTTGAAAGCAATCCAAAAAACTTGTTCGTGGCGGGTTCTGGTCCCCAGACCTGCCCAGTCCAATGAGTACGCTAAGTTGGAACTGTCGTGGCTTGGACAATCCACAGACAGTTCGCGAGATCACGGACATGGTGTCCAATAAGAAGCCTGACTTTGTGTATCTTATGGAAACTAAGGTGGCTAGAGTACATGCGGAGAATTTACGGATTAAGATTGGATTTGAGGGGCTGTTCTATGTGGATAATGATGGCTTGTCCGGGGGACTGGCTTTACTATGGAGAAGAAACAATACGGCGAGACTGATTAAATACTCCAAGAACCATATTGATGTGGAGATTAGTATGCCGGGGCTGGAGAAGTGGAGAATGACATGTTATTATGGTTTCTCACAACGACATAGGCGGGAGGAGGCGTGGGACCTAATAAAATCATTTGTGCCGCAGTCGGATCTTCCATGGGTGATGATTGGTGACTTTAATGATTTGTTATATCAACACGAGAAACGGGGTGGTAATCTTCACCCGAATAGATTGCTCAGGGGCTTCGGGGATACCATTGCACAATGTGGCCTGTCCCAGTTGCCGATGGAAGGATATCAGTATACATGGGAGAAAGGGAAGGGAACTGTTGACTGGATTGAGGAGAGATTGGACAAGGTTTTAGCCACAACTGAGTGGTGTGGAATTGTGCCTCACAGACGAGTTGTTAATCTCCTGACAAGAAAGTCTGATCATTCGGCAATCTTCTTGAGTATCCACGATCCTGGAGGAGGGGGGGGGGGGGGGTGGAAAGAGGCGGAGATTCAGATTTGAGATGTCCTGGCTGCATGACGAGGGGTGTAGGAGGGTGGTGGAGGAGGCGTGGGGGGAGTGGAGAGGTGCTGGAGTTCAGGATTGTATAGATCACTGTGGGCGACGCTTGTCGCGCTGGGGTGGTGAAAGGCACCATAATTATGGTGAGCAGATCCAGTATCTTAGGAAAGAACAACTGCGCCTGAGGGGACATATGGATCCAGGATCGCTTGCTGAATTTCAACGCATTGAGGAAATTCTAGCTCGAGTGGAATGCCAGGAGGATGCCTACTGGAAACAAAGAGCCAAGCAGCATTGGCTAAAAGAAGCAGATGCGAACACTAGATTTTATCACAGTGGCTATTCTATACCATTTATGGAGAGCACGGAATGGAGCGGTTTGGGATGCCTGCCTAAGAAGACCCATGAGTGTCCTAGCCACCGCAAGGACCACCTTGAATGCATGGACCCGAACACACAAGCCCATCACGCAGCCCCATGCGATGGAAGAACAGCTGCTGCCGTCGTCTGCTCCACACCAGCCGGCTCCGCAACAGCACGGCCCGCTCCCCACCACCGTGCCAACACAGCTGCTACAGCCGCCACAGTCGGCCCAATGCTACATAGACGCCGGGTACAACCATCGAACGAACGCCGCAACGGTAGGTGCGGTTCTTTTCTCGGCAGATGGCGATTATCTTGCGGTGTTCAGCGCTCCACTCACAACATGCTTCTCACCCCTCATGGCCGAAACAATCGCATGCGAGGAGGTACTTTCATGGCTCCGAGATCGTGGCGAGCAAAGAGTACGTATTTTTACAGATTGTCAGGCACTACAGCGACAATTAACTTCATCTATGCCCTCTCCAAGATCATACGTTGGATTTGCTTTACACGCATGTAAAGCCTACTTACCGTCTTTTCAGTTTATTCGGTTTACTTTCGTACCTAGATCTCAGAATTTTTTAGCGCATAGTTTAGCTTCTACTGCTTTTAATTTCGCTACTGCTATGTACTGGGACACTGCTCCCCCGGATGCTATTGCTGCATATCTATAAAATAACCATATTATGGTTGCCTTAAAAAAAAAGATACTAATTTTAAATTGAATATTATAAAAATTAAATTGTACGTAGTAAATAACTTAAGCCAAATTTTATTAATTGAATTTGATAGAAAATGAGACAAAAAGAGTATTATGTACGGGGTATATATCTAGGAGGTAAAATACATTGCCATCGGTGTCATCGATATTCTCTAAAATATATAGATTTACCAGATATATCACACACGCTGAAATTTTGATGAATAGCATCGAACTATAACTGGTTCGTTGCCTATATCTACGCCTAAATTCAGGAAGCTCGGTTCACAAACCCAAGAAGGCAGGAGCATCATATCACTGAAACTTCCATCCAATCCAGCTAACAGTCTAACACGCACGATAAATATACAGTCGCTGCCGTAGAAATGGGCGCTGTAAATATCTGGAACGCCATGGAAGTTGCAGAGGGAGCTAGCAACGGCCAGACCTCCGGTATTCCGTCGTCGCATCTCACCATCGATCACTCGCTTTCTATTCCCGAGATGAAGCCTCGCCTCGTGTACGCTCTATTCCTCTATCTCTCTGTTCCTTAAATTTCAGCTTCGTATTTAATGTTAGACGTATATTTAGAGTCGTTTTCTACTGTTCGGGCTCCGCAGCTAGTTTTTCATGATACGTATGGCCGGCGATGGTTAGGTTTAGATTTAGATTGGGGGGCTTCATTCATGTCTTGGTAAAATGATTCAACTGTGGTTGACGTTGATGGAAATTTCATTGTTGTCAACTGTAATGTCCCTGCGAATCTGATAGAGAAGAACAGAGAATAGGTTGCAGTAGAAATTAGGGGAAGAGAAGAGAGAGTTTTGGGAAGAAAATCAGAAGTTTATTCTTATATCCAAGCATAGTACTCCAATACAATCCACTCCATATTTATACTAGAAGATGTCTAATAACAAAACTCTAGCTAAAATATCCAGTAACAACCCAGCAACAAACTAAAAGAGTGAAACAACGCTTCCTGCCCTGCTGATGTCACGAGGGTCTGCTGACAGCTCGGGGGTGTTGCATCTGTTGAATTTGGAAGATGGAATGGCCTCGCGGGCGGAGAATAACACACCCGCCAGTTAAGCGGAAGCAAGAATGAAGAATCAGGAATGAGAGGATGTATATGAAACTGAAAGGTTACAATATATTCTATATTTTCTCACAGTACATATATATATATATATATATATATATATATATATATATATATATATATATATATATATATATACAAATACAAATACATAACTGTAAATACCTATCCATAAACTAACACCTATTCATAAACAGACACAACCCTATTGATAAACCTAACTATTTAGTTTTCAACATCAACTAAGCATGCTTAATTATGATCGGGTTAGATTGATTAGGCCTAATAATCAGTAGAACTTGGACAAGATTTTGGGACTTTCAGGTGTGTGAGAAATGAGAAAAATATACTCCACATATATTTCTAAATTGATACATCTTGTTGATGGAAAAATACGCTTGTTTTGCAGTGTTGTTCTCAGAATCTTTATAGAGTAAATTTATGCTACAGTTCATACTTTTTCTCATGTTAGACTTAACATCTAATCTTTAAATTGCAATGGTTTGCAAATTGTACTTTAATATTATGCTCCTTAAAAATTCCATTAAATTTCTTATTTTAGTTAAGAGATAAAAAAAATCTATTTTACATAGTGCAACCCAAATGTTAAATTGATTACAATTAATAAATTAATAAATAGACATAACAAATGTTGTATCAGCATATAATTTAAAGAGAAGAAGATTCAATTTCAAATACATCAACCCAACTTTTCTATATTTAATACTTATTTTCATGATTTGTTATTGTTATTAAGGGTGTTGTTATTTATATACATTGCTGTTAATTGTAAACTGATTGAAATTTTAAGTTGCATTATGTAAATGTTTTTCTTAATGACAAACATACTCTTAAGAAAACAGGGTGAGTGCATATAATTGTTATATTTAATTGAAAATTAATGAAATTTGTTGTCCATTATCATTTTCAAACTATAGGACGACAAACCATTACAATTTTAAATGTAGGTTGCTAAGTGTAAAAAAGGAAAGGGAAAGAAATTTGATTTCATTAATCAAACTTGGGTAGAATTTATTTTTCATTTGTAGCTTTCCAATTTTTGTTCTTGAACTTTAGTGTGTAAATTTTCCTTCAAATTTCTAGTTCAATACTGCTTAAAATGAACTTTTCTTGATATTGAACATGGCATCTTTGTATAACTTGTTTGCAATTCAAGAATTTGTGTGATTCTCACCCTTCTAATGTGTAACTGATCCTTGTTCTCTGTCTCTCTCTCTCTTTGGGTTTCTATGTGGCTGTAAAAAAATTTGCAGGGAGCTGTGCAAGGTTCTTTTCAAGAAATGGCCAAATTTGGATGCTTCTCACTTGTCTGTTGAGACTGTTTCTGGTGGCATCACAAATCTGTGTGGGTATTTTTTTTTTTTTTTTTATGAACAAATTTATGGTAATAACAAAATTAGCCTAGTTTAAGTTCCAAACCTTGGCCAAAAGTAGCGATTCAGTGTGTTGTTTCTTTTTCTGCAAACTGATATTCATACTTCCCTGAAGTTTTTTTTTTTTTTTTTTTTTTGTCCATACATTGTTAAATCTTTTTAAAAACATCCCTGAGACAACTAATTTCTTTTGCTGCAGTACTGAAAGTATCCATAAGGGAAGATAGTAGCAAAACTGTGGATCTGATGGTTAGATTATATGGACCTAATACTGAATACGTCATCAACCGTGAAAGAGAACTTCAGGTTAGTATCTAATTCTATTGTTAACTCAGCTAGTAGGCTTTGGTCATACTATTTGGAGTTCTAAGCAGTTTGCATTGGGTTAATCTTAGCTAAGAATTACAAAGTACAAATGATCAATGAATTTCCAGACCACCAGGCAGTATACTTCTCTGAAGTCGTTCTGGTCATGTTATATGCAGTTCTTTTAAAACTAACTTTAAATTTTAGTCTTCAGTGTCTTTTCTGAGATGACTATTTTAGTATTTTTATCTTCAAACTGTAGTATTTAACACTACATAACTTCTGTCATATATAATGTAATTATCTCCCCCTTATATCAATAAAATAAAATGTTTCCGTTCCATCAAAATAACAAATAACATGAAACTTCCCGGTACCTTTTAATTCATTATCAACTTTATTATGGTTTTTTAAGGCATTCAACAGAGCTGAAGTTCATGAACTCCTTTTTTAAGATTTCTGTTTTGTATTATTATCATATGAATAGCTTAACCTTAGCATTTTCTGGAAATTGTTGCAAATAGGGAGTTATCCTGCATATGAATCCAAATTAGGGCAATAGGGTCTAAATGGTTTCTTAGTTTACTGATGAATGTGATGGCCAGTCCCCTAGTTTCTAAACATTTTATACTTAGGTTGCCAGTATATCACACTTTTGATCACAGGCTTTATGTGTGGGCAATTGGTGGCCTAGAGTCTGAGTTGTAGAACGGGGCAAATAATGATGAAGTTCTACAAAATGCTCTACTGGAACTATTAACCATATAGTTCATGCATAATAAATTCTGTATACTATATTCTGTCAAAAAAGTTCTGTTTATCATATTTATCTCTCTTACACTTTACCTGGCAGAATGAGGGTATATAAGATTTCTACAAATTCTCTGCTTACTTATGCTTGTTTTTTTATTATTTTTTTAATTTTAATTTTTAATGTGGAGTAGATGTTCAAAAAAAAAAATCTAATTATGTGTCTTCACTGTTTTGCATTAGATATCCTTTACAAATGTAATATCTACTTGATTTATTTCTAAATTTCCGTCCAATTTTCTACTGATATAATTGCCTACCCTCCGTGATTGTTTGTAATATGTTGCATTTAGGCCATTCCATACCTCTCAGCTGCAGGGTTTGGTGCCAAGTTGCTTGGAGTTTTTGGGAATGGCATGGTTCAGTCATTTATTCATGCATGTACCTTAACACCCTCAGGTAGGAATATGAAAGATAACATTTTACTGTGCTATGAATTCTAAATGTCAGGTAGAGATGATAATTCTGGTGCTGATTTGAGAAAAAGTAACTCCATTTCTGCAAGCGAAAATCCACATATCTTGTCCTTTTTTTTTTCCTCTGCATTTTTTGTTTTTGTTTTTGTTTTGTTTTTGTTTTGTTTTTTTTTTGTTTTGTTTTTGTTTTGAGATATTCTCCTCTCTGTTTATTTTAATTTTCATTTATTTCCTACTGCCGAAGTGCTATTCTTTTCACACACAAGTTTTTCAATGATTGAATTTGAACTCATTGAGTACAGGTTAGACTCCTTAGGAATAACAGTTCTGCTGGTGGAGAATACATATGAAACTTATTGGAGTGTTGAAAATTTCATTGATGTGATTTATTGAATTTCTAAATAGACATGAGAAAACCAAAGCTAGCAGCTGAAATTGCAAAACAACTACACAAGTTCCATCAGGTGGAAATTCCAGGCTGCAAGGAACCTCAACTTTGGCATGACATATTCAAGTTCTTTCAAAAGGGTATTTCTTTTATGACTCCTTTTCATACAACATCAAATGATTAAGATGATTTATATTTCCTGCATTGTGTAACATCTCAGATTCCTGTGTGACACAGATGAGGATTTCCATTTAGATTACCTGCAGTCATCTTCCATCTGTCCTTATGCTTTATTTTCTATTTTCTACTGTACTTGCAGCATCAACTCTTGAGTTTGATGATAGTGAGAAGCAAAGAAAGTTTAAGACAATCTCATTTGAAGAAGTCCATAATGAAGTCAATGAGCTTAAGGTTGTCAAATATCCAGTAAATTTGCTGATTTTTGGGTCATATGACCCCTCATAAAGTTCACTGGAGATAAGTAGTTATGTATCACTTGACATTAACAAGAAAAACACTTGTGTATTTTCCAAGAGATACCAGGAATCATTGGATTCTTTGAGACTTAATGAACCTATGACAACTTAGTAATTTTTATAGCTTACTTGTAATAAATATGACTTCTTTCTTTTTTTTTTTTTTTTTTTTTTTTTTTAATTATTTTTTATTTTTTATTTTATTAATGTGGAACAGGAATTGACTAGTCACCTTAATGCTCCAGTGGTTTATGCTCATAATGATTTACTTTCTGGCAATTTGATGCTCAATGAGGAAGAAGGTAATTATGCCCTTAGCTTACCTTTATAGTTGCATTTTGATCCCACCCTATTATGCAGATACAAAGAAACTGTGTATGAAATGAATTTTCTTCTCATGTATATACTTTCTGCTGTTGTTACTTCATGGTCAAGCCAAACATTTAAAATATTATCAATTCATGTGATCATTGCATGTCAGCTTCATTGAGTTTATTCAAACCAATCTCATTGTTTTTGAAATTCTCATGGAGCTAGTGAGCCAAGCTTGACTGAGACAGGAATAACAAACCAGATTTCCTGTTTGAATTTGGCTCAGCTTGTTATAGGAATTAACTGTTTCTTACTAACCCTAGTCTAAGGTAAAGATACATAATTACCATTCAATTAAGTGATGGAGAAGGCTAAATGAGCTCTTCATGTAAATTCTTATCGACTGATGATTCTACTGTTTTTGATAATCTCATTTCCGTGGTGTATGTCCAGGAAAACTCTATTTCATTGACTTCGAGTATGGATCCTATAACTATAGAGGTTTTGACATAGGGAATCACTTCAACGAGTATGCTGGCTATGAATGTGATTACAGCTTGTGTGTTACCCCTTCCTTTTCTTCTCTATTCCATTCAAACGATTGTGTTATGCTCTTTGAACATGAAATTGTAGTTTGGGTATGTTATCTGATGTAGGTACCCAACAAAGGATGAGCAGTACCATTTCTTCAGGCACTATTTAGAACCTGAAAGACCATACGAGGTGTGTTGGCAACATTATTATTACTCTCATTCCTCTAAATTTTGCACAATTTTTTATATTCAACTGAATCTTTGAGTTTGGCTGGATTTGTCTTGATCTTAGCAACAAATCATTTTTAATTTTATTTAGGAATAAGGGTCAAATAGGCCACTGAATTGCACACGAGAATGCAATTAGGCCACTGAACCTAAAAAACTTAAAATTGGGTCCCTAAACTAACCAATTTCTTTCGATTTGTCAATTTTTCAAGTTTCTCAAGTTGCTAACAGGTTACCCCTCCACCTAGGATGCATATGTGGCATTTTAAAAAAAAATAAATTATTTTTAAATTAGTTTTTTAATATTTAATAAATAAAAACTAAAATAATTTATTTTTAAATTAGTTTTTTTAATGTTTAATAAATTAAAACTAAAATAATTTGTTTTTTTTTTTAAAAAAAAAATAAAATATCGTACAGGGGCTTAGATTTTATTTTCAAAAAAAAAATATTTTAGTTTTTTATTTATTAAACATTAAAAAAACTAATTTAAAAATAAATTATTTTAGTTTTTATTTATTAAACATTAAAAAAACTAATTTAAAAATATTTTTTTTAAATGCCACATATGCATCCTAGGTGGAGGGGTAACTTGTTAGCAACTTGAGAAACCTGAAAAATAGACAAATTGAATGAAATTGGTTAGTTTAGGAACCCAATTATAGGTTTTTTAGGTTCAGTGGCCTAATTGCATTCCCGTGTACAATTCAGTGGCCTATTTGACCCTTATTCCTTTTATTTATTTATCTTTTACCAACAGTTCATCTCTGTTAAAGCTTTTTACCTCATGGTGACACGATGGGGATCATTCACAACAAAGTTATTATTATTATTGTTATTGTTATTATGACAGGTCTCTGAGAAAGACCTTGAGGCTCTATATGTCGAGACCAGTACTTACATGTTAACATCTCATTTGTATTGGGCTTTGTGGGCCCTAATCCAGGTACTACTATATAGTACTCTGTATTTGAAGATCTCAATTACAAAGCCGTGCCGGGCAAATTATACCATGGAGCAGGGTCTACCTTGCATTGTAGACTAGTTCAAAAATAATCTTCAAATTCTGTATCTATAGTTGACACATTCTGTACTTGCAGTTGATAGTTTCTGTACATGTAGCTATCATATTATGTGTCAGCAATTATCAAGTCAGATTCTGTATCTATAGTTGACACATTCTGTACCTGCAGTTGATATTCTCTATACCTGTAGCTATCATATACATGCACAGAATGTGTTAACTGTAGGTACAGAATGTGTTAATTGAAGGTACAGAACTTTTGTATCAGGGTTCACAATGCAATATCAACCCTGGTCCATGGTATAACAATTGTTGCCGCCCTCCCTGCTCTTTACAATATAAAGGATTGAAGCCCAAAATGAAAGCCTCATAATGCATGCATGCATGCGTGTTGTTTTCTTTGACAGGCAAAAATGTCTCCGATTGAATTTGATTACCTTGGTTATTTCTTCCTGCGTTTCAACGAGTACAAAAGTCAGAAAGAAAGGTGCTGTTCCTTGGCAAAAGCATACCTCTTGGGTTCTAAGAAATAACAAACCTTTTTATTAGCAAATTTATGTGTTGTCATTTGACTGGAAATCTACTTGAGGCCTCTGCTTTTCATTTGAAGTGAAGTGTTGTTTTCTGGGTGTTGTAGCTGGTCAGGGCACTTCAAACAATCCTCATATTTTTTTTATTAATTTTACTTTTCCCTTTCCTTTTATATATTATCATGATTGATGAACAGTATGTTGTGTATGTGTGTAAAGTTGGGGATTACAGTAGCCGTGGGGGTGAATTTGGTCGATTACAAAGTAAAGAACATAATAGTGTTGTATAATATTGTAAAATCATTTGAAGGAAGTAATTTATATGTATGTAGCATATGACAATCATTTTCGTGGACTTGTTGATTGTCAAATGATACATAAGCTGTGTATGAGAACCACTTTGAGTGTAGAAAACAATGGAAACAGAATTAGCATCTAGCTAGTACCCTACCTTACCGTACCTAACCTAACAACACACTACCAATAATACAAGCAAATAAAGAGCCTTTACTGATCCAATCTTAGTTACATAATAATTCAAGCTTGAAGAAGCTGGCAGTGAACAATGCGACTCTTGGGCCGGTTCCTACCGGCAAGGGTTGATAAGAAATTTGTCACCATGCTTTTCAACTGCCCTCTTCCACCAATTGTTTCCCACAAATGCTCGGTTGTTGCATCATCACCATTACCATTACCATTACCGCATCTTGAAGAAACATCAACAAGAGAAATGCTCATGTTGTTTCTAATAATGCACAGTTTTCCTTGGAGAGGGATGAGCGCTGCAGCCTCTAGAGCCTTGGAATTCCCCAGATGCATCTTGCTATCGATATGCTTGCTCCAAGAATCTGTTGCTTCGTCATACACCCTTAGTTTGCATCCATCTCTACAGTCCAAAGCGTAGAGATGACCATTTAACGTAGCGCCTGGGCTTCTCCACCCTGTAACCATTCCATTAAAGACGGGGTTCCACACATCAGTTTCTGGTTGGTATACCTCGCTCAGAACCTGTCGGTGGGAACCCATGCCCTTTAAGAACCATTTTCCTTCATAAACAACTCCAGTGAAGGGTACCATTGGCGTGCTCATCTCAGAAACAAAGGACCATCTATTCTTGTGGGGATCATAAACTTCAGCTGATCTTAGAGGCCCGTGAACTCCCTCGCTCTCTCCACCCGCTACATATAAACAATTATTTATAACACAACAGCCAAAACGATGTCTCCTACGAAGCATATCTGGAGCACGGTGCCATTTATTAGTTCGTGCACTATAAAAGACAACTCTTCTCATGGACCCCTTCACAGGGTCTTTCCCACCAAACAAATACAGATGACAGCCACTAAGAACAGCAGATCCAAAACCAAGGGCTTCAGAATATTCTTTGGGTACAGGAGGGAGTGGGTGCCATTGCTGGTAAACGGGATCAAATGCATCACATGATATTTTCCCATCTCGCTCTCTCTTCATGATGTATATCCATTCCTCAGAAAGCCCTAGGTTCTTTCGAAGTGAGTAATAGAAATTACCAGCTAAGAGGCGATTCCATCTTTTGCAGACTAGGCGGAGCTTGCAATGCTCGGTTCTAGGGACTCTAATTAAACAAGCAACGGCAAGATCATCTGGAAGTCCAGGTAATAGAGGGTACTGGTTCCGGTTTTTGTCACGTCGTGGTTTTTCTCTAGTGGGATGAATACAAGGTTTGATATCTGGGCGAAGACAAAGTTTTGTCCCGGGCACATACTTTTTAGCACCGGCAACACTTTTGAGTCCTGCATCTACTCTACAAAGGCAAGCAGTTGTATCAACCTGAAATAAACAAGACTCCAATTTCTCAGTTCATCTTTAATTTCCACACAGATTAAGAAAAAGTTACTCCATATGATCGCTCGCATCAAAATTCATATAAGAGACGGTAAGCATAGTTAATGCTGAGAAACACAAATATGAGCCATCTATGAAATGCCATAATTTCTATTATGATTCTAAATTTCATAAATTAACACACCAATCCCATAGTAAGTGGGTGAGGAAGGATGTGAAAGAACCACTTGAAAACAGAAAATCAACTTCTTTTTTTTTTTTTTTTTTTTTTTTTTTTATTATTAAAATGAAATCAAAACATACTTTTGTCTTGAGTATCCCAACACAGTGGCCAGATTGTCAGAACAGGCACAATCAGAGATCTCATAATTTTCATCTGTCTTCTTTCTTGGCTTCTTTGGTCAATTCTCTTCCATGTCATATTAGCTACTTTTAAAGATAAGCACAACGGGTAGACCTACTTTTCAAATGAAACTCAAAGGCACTCAGGTTGCTTTCTTTTGTGAACGACAACCATGTGATGTTGTAATCAGGGATAATTAAAGAGAAGGAATTGTTTTTTTTTTTTTTTTTTTTTTTTTGTTTTGTTTTGTTTTGTTTTCATTAGTTGGCACATTATGTGCACACAGGAAAGGCCAAAAGGGTGAACAAACTAATAGTTTGATATTTTGTTCTGATGTGGCTACAAATCCCTCTTCATCACTCTCATTCGCTGCAATAACAGCATTCCATCTCTAGATTCTTCTCTCCAGACAATACCTCCAAACCTTTATAATAATCAACATGCAATGTTTTGAACCAATATTTTCGCAATTGTAACTGTGTGCCAGCATGCCCTATTGCATGCATGCCGACAACAACCTTTAACTGACACCAGTTCTACCGAGAGACAGATAGGCCATACGAGAATTGGTCTAAGCTTGCCAAATGCAAAAACTTAGGGTGTATTTGGTTCATGAGATTAGACACAAGGAATAGGAATGAAAGTCATAGACAATTAGACATTGTTTGGTTGTCAACTTTTTAAAATATAGGTATAGGATTTGATTACCCCTATAATTACAAAACCCATTACCTAATTAAAATCAGGTATCATTTCATTAATTCAGCCTTATCCCTCCTCTCATTTCATTGCTTCCTTATTTTGTCGCCTCCTCACTTCCTCACTGCATTGCCTACTTACTTCATCGTCACTCTTAAGTCAATTGCCTTGATTTTTTGTGTTTGTATTTTTAAAAGAGTTAATTACCGATTTGGTCCTTTGACTATGAGGATTTCACCACTTTGGTCATCGACTTTCAAAATTGACCAATTATATCCTCGACTATGCCTTTTTTACCCAAAATGATCCTAACCATTAGACATCCGTTAACTCGAGACCAAATTGGTAATTTTGCTATAGTCAAGGAACCATTTCGGTCATCACATGCACCATTTTCTTCTAAAGTTAATTACTGAAATGGTCCCTTGACTATAGCGAAATTACCAATTTAGTCCCGACTTAACGGATGTCTAACGGTTAGGACCATTTCGGGTAAAAAGAGCATAGTCGGAGACTAAATTGGGGAATTTTGGAAGTCAAGGACCAGATTGGTGAAATCCTCATAGTCGAGGGACCAAATTGGTAATTAACTCATTTTTAAAACCTTTATTCCAATTATATGGTCATAGATAACCAAACATTAATCAATATTAGTAATCATTCCAATTCCACCCTACTACCAAACATACAAAATACATTCACCAAAATCCATTCCAATTAACAAGTATTTGATTCCCATGTCCAAACCAAACACACCCTAAGTTATAAGAAACTGGCTATTGATTTTGATAAAAAGTAATAATAACAATAAGAAAACAATTGGTTGCTACACAGACCGTTAGTCAGCAGATTCAAACAGCAGCAAAAAAAACAAAAAAAACAACAGAACGCAAGCTTAAACCTTTGCTAATAGCATCACCATTAAAAGCAAACACCATAAGCCAGTCCAAGAATACAATCATGAAAGTTACGAATTTTACCAGAGGTGGCTGAATAACTCTATTATTTATTCTTGAATGATCAGTCATTTCCTTAATCCAAGTTTCTCCACATTAAGAATCTTCAACACCCAATTCAAAATTAAGTTGCTCTCTCTCAACAACCATCAGATCCTACATAGAAGTGAACACTTTTCAACAACAAATAGAAATAAGATTTGAATTAAGGACTACTAAACAACAAGGAAAAAAGATCTCACCTCTGGAAATATCACTTAAAATTTTTGGATCCAAGTGAAATGTCCCTTCAATTTATCCAAGAGTCTAAACTCCTAAACCCATGAAATTGAGAACATAATTCATATTTTAAAGCAAGACCAGAAGGGTCAACACAAGCTCATGAACTATACAAGCACAAGATTGACCAGCTCAAATTATCTTGACAACACATCCAATCAAGAAATCACATAAATGAACTCCCAAGACCTAAAATATAAAGAAGAGCAAATCAAATCATATTTTCAAAACTAACCCAAATGCGAGGCAGCCAGGTAAAGAGTGAAGAACAAGGGAAAAGCACTGATAGGAATATATAGCCTTCTTCCTCTCATTCTGATTCTCTCCCACCACCATCAAAGTCCAACTCAGCTGAACTCTGGACCCATAAAACAATGCTGTCATCACAACCTACCAAAGCATAGCAGCATGCTTAACAAGAAACCCAACACCCCACCATAAAACTATCAATACTTTCTTCAATTACATACTACAGGGCACAAATACGTGACAAGAAGAAAGTAAACTACAGCCTTTTGGGTGAAAGACTGAGTTTTTAGGGTAGAAAACAAGAGAGTAAAGGGTCAAAATGCGTGGCAAGTGGTAACGAGTGAGGGGAGAGAAAATTTTTCTACAAATCTTAAAATAAGATCGTGAATTAGAGGCAAAATGACAAAGATTTGAGAAAAATGGTAGTTGGTCAATCTTGAGAAATGTGCCTTAGACGTGGGAGAAAATTTCAAACGTGTGTGTGGAACGAGTCTTATTTTGATTCGATACGACGATCGTGTTTGGTGTATTTTGGCAACTTATATTTGGCGCTATATGTTTAGTTGAACGTGAATATTGGCAAATTATTATGTGGACCATGGTTCACAGTTTTGTATGGATCTTAATAAAAAATATATTTTTAATATATAAAAAAATATATTATTCGTGTATTGAATATACATTATATAAATTAATGTATTTTTAGTACTCAAATAATATATTTTTTTCTGAATATAATACACATTTTTAATATACTAAAAGTACATTATTTATATATTAAATATACATTATTTGATAGTGTGGTTCACACAATAACAATTGGTGAATATTCAAATGGGCCTCAAATAAAATTACTTCAGGTAATTCAAATCATCGATCAATTAACATTAAATGTTGAAAATTTTAAAATTACATGAATAATTCAAAATTTATCCTTTTTTTTTGGGCTTTAAAATCATTTTATAAAATCTATAATATAGTTTGACCAAGTTGAAGATACAGAATTATATAAATAAAAAAAATCAAATTACTCCATTTTTTACATATGAAATTTAAAAAGTAAAATCAATTCAAAATAGTACATTACCAAATCAAGTAATTGTATGGGATGTCGTATTCCCAATGAGGACGAGGATGGGGAAATTTTTTTGAAATGGGGACAAAGAAGGGAAAACCCCTCCCCTTATTCATCGCGGGGACGGGGACGAGGTTGGTGTTTCGGGGATGGGGATGATGGTCAATTCATGAACATGTGACCTTAACTAAGATACATTTTGATAACTCATAGGGTACATTATTTTAAAGTATAAAGTACATTATTCTAACCCATAGGGTACATTACCAAAATCAAGTGATAGTCGGTTTATGAACACATGTGACCTTAGGAAGCATCAATTTTATTAACTCATAGGGTACATTATTTTAGAGCATAAGGTACATTATTTTAACCCACAGAGTACACTACCAAATCAAGTGATGGTAAGTTCATAAACACATGTGACCGTAATAAGGATACATTTTGTTAACTCACAGGATACATTATTTTAGAGCATAAGGTACATTATTCTAACCCACCGAGTACATTACCAAATCAAGTGATGGTCAGCTCATGAATACATGTGACCTTAACAATGGAACATTTTATTAATGCATAAAACAAAAAAATATGTTCATAATCGGTCAAGTGCAAATACTTTTTGTAATAACTCACAAAGCAAAAAACAAGTTCATAATATGTCAAGTGCATATATAAGTAAACAAAATTAGTGCAACTTCTTCTAATTATCATTTGACTTGTTTTGAGACTTAGACCTAAAAGAAACCAATTATGAACTAATATTGCCACTAGGATGAATTAGATATCCACTACCAATAATATCATAAACAATTTACTGCACAGAAATTGGACTATAGCCTTTGTGTTAAATTCAACCATCTTTACATGATTCTTCCGGCTTCTTGCTTGGTTATACCTTTTTTGTACTGTACTAATTAGCCCTGGATTACGGTCGCCTTTCGCACCACTTCGTAAAGGACTTTGTATACCACCACTTTCCAAGGACCTTTCAAAGTCATCAAAGCAAATAGGACCAACCTCACCTTCAATCTTTCTTCTACCAGCTTCAATATTATTTTTAGTGAATATCAGATTTCTAAGTAGAGGGGGGTATGGTGCACCTAATAAATCCAGTCATGCTCTACAAAGAAATAAGATATCCACTAAAAGAATGATCTGAATACACAATAGAAAGTATACATAAATGATGCATTAAAATAATGTACCATATGGATTAAAATAATGTTCCTAATGCATATAAATAATGTATCTCAGTCAGAAACACAATATGTACAACAGAATGTACACATAAATGATGCATTAAAATAATGTATCTTATGTATTAAAATAATGTACCTAATGCACATAAATAATGTACCTCAATCAGAAATACAATATTAGCTTGAAATGTAATGAATGATCTACATACTATATCAAATCATAGCTTGGCAGAAAGACTGAGTTAGTTGGAAAATTAATTAGTATTCATCTTAGCTTCTACATAGAAAAAGCTCAAATGCATATTGTGTTAAATTTGTAGGTGAGGGAAAAAAAGTAAATTAAAATGACCATGCATATTGTGTTTATAGAGAGTTAAAAGAACTGGAAATTTGTTGGTAATCAGGTTATGGAAGTCATTACTTAGAAATTCACTTGTTACATCTCACCTCAAGATAAAATGCAGATCATGCAAACTAAGAATTTTATTAATTTCTTAGTGACAAATATCAATATAGCACATGATTTAATAACCTAATAAGAGTGGAACCTATAAAGAAATTAATGAAATTATTCTCGTTTCCAATGCTTATGAAACTAAGGCCAAGAAAGCAATGTATGATCAAAGGTTTTCATCATTGACATTGAATCATTACAATTCAGAAGGTGGAACAAAAGACCTTTAATTCCCATAAGAGTGGCACAAGCAAGATTTCTATTTTAAGTATGAAAAACAAAACCTCTGCAATACAGAAGATTTCTTGGGTTTGACGTTTCTAAAGAATATTACTGTTTGAACCTCAGTTTCAATACAGATTTTTTTTATAGACGAAGAACTCAAAATTGACATAAAAGCCTCCAAAAGTTAACATGGGGAAATAATGTATCTTATGTATTAAAATAATGTACCCTATGAATTAAAATAATGTACCTAATGTATATAAATAATGCACCTTAATCAGAATTCCAATATTCACAGCAGAACATGCAAATACTTTATAGTAACACGAAAAACATAGAATTGCATGTCTATGATCAACATCAATTGCAAAAATCAATTCAACAACAACCAAAGCATTCACATCACCTAAATCGCATTAAAGACCTGTAATTCATTCTCGAATTTGAATTCATAGCATCCATTATGTTGATAGAGAAGCGAGAAGCTGTGTGGACCATGCCAAATTGCGAAGAGATGAGCAATTGATCGCAAAGAGAATGAAATCACGGAGAACAGCAATTCACGAAGACAAATCGCGAAGAAACAATTCGCATAGAGAAAGGGAGAGAAGAAATTTGCGACCGTAGAAGAAGAGAGTGAGTAACGGCAGAATGACGCCGTTAGAATCCAAGTAGCGAATTTTTTTTTAAAGGGTAAAACGACGTCGTTTTGGACCATGGTCCAGCCAAGTTGGGTGGACCATGGTCCATGCAATAATTTACCGTATAAAATAGGTTAGATTAAGTTTGAGCTCAAATCTTAGGCTCATAATAAATGATCAGGTTCGTCTCAGATAGATTTTTTGGTTTAAAATTTTGATATAAATTATATACTATAAGTAAGGTTTATAAAATCATAGTTACCTTATAAATATTTGTATGAAAACATATTATTTTTTTTTAAAAAAAATTATATTTGAGATAATACCCGTAGTAATTGAAATAAATTTGTTTCACAAACCTTTGTAGGAAAAAATAATTTCATTTAAAATTTTGGGATATTACAGCAGTGAAGCGAAAAGTCAAAGAACGCTACACCGACAATGTTGATGATGATAATATCCAAGCATTGTTTCAAAAATAAATAGAAATGTTGGAAAGATTAAAAAATGAAATTGGAACACGACGAAGGAATGAGAGAACTTGCAAACATATGCAAAAGATATTGCATTGAGAGAATATGAAATTCGATTGAGAGAATATGATGATGGACACATCGGAGCAACTTGCTACACACATAGAGTATTGTAATGATATTAGACAACGTCGGTGAAATGCACTTCAGCCGTAAGTTTTTATTTATATTGTTTTAAAAATTCCATATTTGTAATTTAAACTCTTGCAATTTTAATTTTTGTAATTTTTATTTTAATGTCGTATGCGGTATTTTTATATTCTTGTGATTTTAATTTTATATTTTTGTAATTACATCATCAATTTCGTGCGGATTTGGTTAAGCATATATGGAGCAATATCGACAATTAATTTAAATATTTGTATTTTATTTTTTTATGCACTTTAATTTTCTTAACCGTTTTGTAGTTTAGTTTTTAAGTAATTGGCTTTAATTTTTAAGCAGTTAGTAGTTTAATTTTAATTTTATAATTACATTTATAAATTTATAATTCATATAAATAAAGAAATAATTAAAATATAGGATAGTAAAATGGTGAGTCAACAAAAAACTGAGAAAAAACCTAAAACTAATGAGGAGAAGGGTTTTTGTGATTGAGTGAGATGGTGGATGATGACGTGGATGCTGTGGGACACGAAAAAATCCCAACTATTGAGGATGCGCGCTCTTAGTGTGTTTAGTGCTTGTATGGGAGAACAATGTCAATTCACACCACTCAAAAGTTTTTGTAGATTATTTATGTGCATATATATTATTCAAATTTTTAAAAATGGCACAATTAAACTAAAAAAAAATGTGGCATGAAGTGGCTCTCCCAAAGGGAAGGTCATGGGTTTGAGCTCCAATGGGAGCGGTATTGACTCTTTGTGCTTCAGTAGGTTGAGAAAGTAGTTATGAACATATACTACATTGTAACAGAGTAAGTAGTACTAAAAAAAACTAAAAAAAATATGGGTCAATGTATAAATATAAAAATATAATTATCTAAATAAAAAATAAATGCACGTGTATAAATTCATGAACTCATAGTGCACGCACGGTATACTCAACATCTTTATATTTATATATTTATATTTTGTTTGATATATATATATATATATATATATATATATATATATATATATATATTGATAGTACTAATCCCCGGTGGTCGGTTGTATGTACTGTATGTAATATGTATATGTATGTAAGCAATATATGAACAAGGAAAAATAGCTCAAATCCTTCTCTTATTAAATGTGTTCTTTTATGTAGATGTATGAAGA